ACCGGCCGAACCAGCCCACTTTCGCGCGTTGCCTGCGCGGCGCTAGTGGAAAAACGATGTGTTTTTCATGTCCCATTCGGTGACACGAGCATGCCTGTTCAAAAAATGCTTCGCGATGTGATTACCTAGCGAAAGTGCCGAAGAAACGCAGCGTGCGCGCGAACCAAGGCTAGAGATGGGGGGTCGGGAATCGGAGCGCGGGCGGGTGGCGAGGAAAGCGGATGGTAGCGCGGGTGCATTTTCTTTGGAGTCCATAGCAAAGCAATGCCGATCTGATAGAAGCACTCTGAACAGGCACCCGCCCCGAGGAAAACTGAGCGCCAGAGCGGCCGTGGGAAGCACTGCGCGGGCACCTAAAGATCGAGTGGAAGGGGAACAGGGAGGATGCGGGGAAAGAGAATAATGATGGAGACGGTGGGCGAGGAAGGAGGCATGCAAGCGGGCCTCGGAGGAAAAGCATGGGAAGGAAGAAAAACGCAACACGGAGGAGGTAAAAGGGATATTGTTCCTCGCGTTCTTGTTGCCATTCGTCCTCCTGCTCATCCTACTTTTCTCACTCCTGCTCCGCCTTCTCCCTCCTGCTCCTGGTGCTCCTCCTGCTCCTTCTCATGCTCATGCTCGTCTTCCTCCTCGTCCTTCTCGTCACCCCCCCCTCATCCTCTAACTCCTCCACCACATCGTCACCACCATCAGCATATTCATCATCCTCGTCCTCCTCCCCTCCCCCTTGTCCTATACCATCGAGGCCAGCATAGTTGTACATGTGACCGTCTGTCAAGTGGCCTCCGTATCCCCTGATGTTGCACTTCCTCACACATCAGCATCAACATCATCATCACCATGCGTCATTCCGCTACCCCCGCTGCATTTGACCGTCGGCCGAATGACATCCCTCTCCATCCCCTGCTCTGCTTGCTCCAGCCGTTGTTCTTCGATTTTATCTTCGTGCCTCCGCCACGCCTCGCTCCTACTCCATGTGGCCGTCGGGCGAACGGCCTCCCGCGCAATGATCGTTGATGTTGTTTCTGCGCTTCCTCCTCCTCCTCCGCACCCGCGTCGCCATCGTCATCTTATCGTCGCCACCACTATCGCCATCATCATGGCCATCCGCAAACTCGTTAGCAACATCAACATCATCATCATATCCCCACCCTCGCTCTATTTGAACCTCGGCCGGATGACCTCCCTACCTTCCGTCCTGCTCCTCCTTCTTGCTCCTGCTGCTGCTCCTCATTATCATCCTCCTCCCTCCGGTCCCTCTCTCCTGCTCCACTTCGCCGTCGGTCAAATGGCTTCCTTATCCCCCTCCTGATCCCTGTTGCTCCTCATGATATTGCTGCTGCTTTTCCTCTCATCTTCCTCAGTTTCACAGCGGGCTCACGTTCAAAAGCCCTCATCTTCCTCCGTCCTGCCCCTCCAGCGTCTGTTCATGCTGTTGCTGCTGCTCATCCGCCCTCATTCTCTCGTTTCTTGCTCTTTTTGGCTGTAGGTCCAACGCCCTCCCTTTTCCTTCTGCTTCCCTTGCTTATCCTGTTTCTGCTGTGGCTGCTGCTTACCTTTCTCTTCCGTTCACTCTTGTCCCATCTGGCCGTCGGCCAAGTGGCCCCTCCCCTCCCCTCTGCTCCACTTGCTCCTGTTGTTCTTGCTGGAAACACGGAGGGGGGAATGCAGACAGAGGAGACGGTAACGGGATGAAGCAGGGAGGGGAAGGGCTTGGGACAGAGACGGACGGTGGAAAGTGCGTGGCGGAAGGGGACGAGAGCCCACGTCAGTGCGCCATTGTTTCCTCGCGCCTTGAGGAACGCCTCCGCAGACGACCACCTGTCGAAGGTACGGCCGCACGGCGCGACGAACGCTCTGTCAAGCTTCGTGGGGTCGGACGGCCGTGGGGCTTCATCTGCACCTCCCAACCTCCCCGGAGGCGAAGGCCATCGCGAGAACGCCAGCGATGAAGCGCAAGGCACCGAAGGCCGACGCAGCGGCGAGTGCCAAGTCAGAGGCCAAGAAGGCCAAGAAGGTCCAGTGCTCCCCGACCCACCTTCCAGAAGGTTGGGAGGTGCGGATGAAGCCGCGGCCGTCCGACCCCACGGAGCTTGACAGAGCGTTCGTCGCGCCGTGCGGCCGTTCCTTCGACAGGTGGTCGTCTGCGGAGGCGTTCCTCAAGGCGCGAGGAAACAATGGCGCACTGACGTGGGCTCTCCTCCCCTTCCGCCACGCACTTTCCACCGTCCGTCTCTGTCCCAAGCCCTTCCCCTCCCTGCTTCATCCCGTTACCGTCTCCTCTGTCTGCAGTCCCCCCTCCGTGTTTCCAGCAAGAGCAACCGGAGCAAGTGGAGCAGAGGGGAGGGGAGGGGCCACTTGGCCGACGGCCAGAGGGGGTAGGAGTGAACGGAGGAGAAAGACAAGCAGCAGCCGCAGCAGAAACAGGATGAGGAAGAGGAGCAGGAGGGAGAGGGAGGGCGTTGGACCTACAGTCGAAGAGAGCAGGAGCCGAGAGGAGGAGGGCGAGGGCGAATGAGGAGGAGCAGCAGCAGCATAAGCAGACGCAAAATGGGGCAGGGCGGAGGAAGAGGAGAACTTCTGACCGTGAGCCAGGAGTGAACTTGAGGAAGATGAGGAAGAGGCGCAGCAGTAAGAGCACGGTGAGCAAAACGGCGCAGGAGGGGGAGGAGGCCATTTGACCGACGGCGAAGTGGAATAGGAGCGAGGAAGCAGAGGAGCAGGAGGAGGAGCATGATAAGGAGGAGGAGCAACACCAGGAGCACAAGGGGCAGGAGGTCATTGGACCGAGGTTCAGATGGAGCGGGAATGAGGAGATGGTGGAGCAATGAGCTGAATGCCATTCGACCGACGCCACATGGAGTAGGAGTGAGACGTGGCGGAGGTAAGACGAAGAGTAGCACCAACAGCAGGAGCGAGAAGAGCAGGGGCTGGAAAGGGAGGCCATTCTGTCGACGGTCAAGCGCAGCGGGAGTGAGGGGAGGACGAAGCCGATGATGATGCTGATGTTGATGCTGATGCTGATGCTGATGCTGATGCTGGTGCTGATGATGATGATGATGATGATGATGATGATGATGATGATGATGATGAGGAGGATGATGATGCTGATAGTGATGGCGAGGAAGAGGGCGAGGAGCATCAAGCGCAATTTACCGATGGCCAGATGTATAACGATTAAGCCGTGGAGGGCGGGGAGGGGGAGGACGAGGAAGAGAAATATGCGGATGATGGTGACAATGTGGTGGAGGAAAAAGAGGATGATGAGAAGGAGAAGGAGAAGGATGAGGAGCATGAGCATGAGCAGGAGGAGCACCATGAGCAGGAGGGAAAAGGGGGGAGGCGTTGGACCAACGACCAACTTCAGCAGGAATACGAAAGGAGGAGGGGGAACGGGAGGAGGAGGAGGAGGATGAAGAGAAATGGCAGCAGCAACGCAACGACTCCTCCGAGGCCTGCCTGTATACGTCCTTCCTCGCCCACCGCCTCCGTGATGTTCTCTCTTTCCCTGCATCCACTGTGTTGCCCTTCCCCTCGACCTGCCCGCGCAATGCTTCCCACGGCCGCTCTGGCGACTACCTTTCCTCTGGACGAGTGGCCGTTCAACTATCAGATCTGTATTTGTTTTCTGTGGACTCCACAGAACAACGCCCCTGCGCGACACACCATGCTGATTGTACCACAGGGACCTTCGCACGGTTGGGAGCGCTCTTGGAGCCCTCTTGGAGCCATCTTGAGGCCTCGGCGAGAAAGCCATAAACATTGATTTCCCAAAGGTTTTGGAAGGATTTTGGCCTCTTCGGGACCTCCTGGGGGAGCTCTTTGGCCACTTGGACCGTTTTGGAGCCGTTTTGGAGCGGTCTTGGGGCCTGTTGGAGCATCGTGGGCGCCATCTTGAGGCATCTTGGGATATCTGGAGCCATCTTGGAGATCATCTTTGGCTATCCAGGCGCAAACTTACAAAACGCATTCGGCGGAGAGCCGTGAGCCCGTTCGGCGTGCAACCGATCTGCTTCCCGATCATCAATTTTGAGCCCGTTCGGCCGCCGAACCGGCTCACTGAGCTCGTTCGGCCGCCGAACCGGCTCACTGAGCTCGTTCGGCCGCCGAACCGGCTCACTGAGCTCGTTCGGCCGCCGCACCGGCTCAGAACTCATCCAGACGCACCCGCCGAACCGGCTCACTTTGAGATCTTCTCGTTGCCGAGTACACGTGGGCCCGCTCGGCGGGGCTGCCCCATTCGGCGATTCTTAAGAAGCTCGCCGAGCCGGCTCAACAGGGTCTTCGTCGTTTTTGGGGAAGAAGCCGTTCCCCAGCGAGCCCTGGGCTCTGGCCATCGCTCGGACGTCCATTCACTGTGCTTTCTTCGGTCTCGTGCGTGGCTTCCTCGCCAAATGACGAAGGATGCTCCTCGATGGTCCTCGCCGACGGAAAAATGCACACGTCCGAGCGATGCCGAGGGCTTCCTAAAACCACACTGCACACGCACGGGGGGACCACACGGGAGACCGCACGGGAGACCGCACGGGAGACCACACTGGGGGACCGTGCGAGAGACCGCGAGGGAGGTCACACGGGAGGCCATGCAGGAGATCACGAGCGAGACCCCGTGCGGGGGATCACGCGGGAGACCACGGGCCACGGTTTCAGGATCGGGAAGGGCTCACGCGTGCCGTGAAGAACGCGCAGGACCCTCACAGATGAGCTGTCAGGGAGAAGCCTCCGCTGCCAGCGCTGCTCGTGGAATCATACGCACGTGGGTTTAAGGCAGGTGCGAGGGAGAGGCGGCGGCAACGCTGGGCAAAGCCAGGCGAGAGAGAGAGAGAGAGAGGGAGAGAGGACGATGAAGGAGGAGGAGGAGGAGGAGGAGGAGGAGGAGGAGGAGGAGGAGGAGGAGGAGGAACGCTACAGCCGTTCCCTCACTCCGCCGACCTGCTTCTTTCAATCCGCGGCCCCAGCGGTCCCGATCCCCACCCCTGGGCTATTTCTCGCCCCGGCTCCATTTTTCACGGTGCAGGAGGCTGGCGTCGATCGAGGAAAATTGTCCAGACTGCACAGCTCGTCGGAGATCTGGGCAGGAGGCGGAGCAGGAGGAGCGGCGCAAGAGAGGCAGCAGGATGAGGAGGCGAATGAGTATCGTTTAACCGATCCCCATCCCCAGCTGCGTGGCCTGGGCCCCACTGGTCGACTTACCCCCCTGAATGGGGATATAGGCCGTCCCATTCGGGATTCGAAGGGTGCATCCCCAACTGGGGGGGTAACTTGGTGGGGGTCTCGAAGGGGATGGGGATGGGGATGAGGGTCGGATGAACGATACTGAGGCGCAGGAGGACGGTCCTCCACGTCGAGCACGCGGCTGCCATAGTGCAGGTGGTGCCGTGGCCTCTCTCGGCTTGGACGAACGGGGCGGGTTGGCAAGCCCAGGGCTAGCGAATCAGCTCACGCAGATGAAGGGGCCCTGGGACACACAAACAAATAGGCACAAATAACACGATTTTCCAATATTTCCTGGGCGTCTGTCTTCCCCCCCACTTCCCATATTTTCCCATCTTTCCTGGGGAATCGACGATTCATTGTGTCTGTGTTTTTTCCCCTCCTGAGTTTCCCTGGCGGCTCCCGGCGCCGGGAGGCGCCGCTGCGTCAAGGAACCCTGAGATCCGGGCGTCGCACCCTTCGCACAGCGGGCGTCTCCGGCCACTTGGGGCCCCGGGGGCGTCACAGATCGACCTGGCCGCAGAAAGATGTGAGGAGGAGGAGGAGGAGGAGGAGGAGGAGGAGGAGGAGGAGGAGGAGGAGGGGTCCAGGGCACCGGTCGTGACCTCTCGCGATTATTGCCTGCTTCCGCAGCATGGGATCTCAGGGAGTGCATCGAGGAGGGGCGTCCTGCGGCGGGGCCGGCACCCGCTGCATGCAGCGTATCTTCGCGACGGCGCCTCCCGGGGAGAGCAGAGGGGGCTGGGCTTCGTCAGAAGCTTCCTAAAACTTCTCCGACGTCGCGGAGGGCTTCTTCTCGGAAGCAGGGCTGAACCTACACCGTGTTTTTCGTTGTCGATTTGATTTCGCTTTCCCTCGTTTTGTCTTCAGTGCACCTCTACGGCAAAGCTAAGTCGAAACGAAAACGGCCCACGAAATCGCCCAAGCACCGTTTAGATCCAGCCCTGCTCAGAAGGCTGGAAAGCTTCTGAACAGTAAGCGAAACGAAAACTGTCTGCTCTGTCGGGCCGCTGTCTTCTGTCGGGAGCGGCCAAGAGGGGGGTGTCCAAGAGGGGGGGTGCAAATCATGACTGGCGGCATGTGCGCGGCCCAGAGGGGTGGCCAGGGACGTAATGAAACAAGAAGAGGCGCCATGAGATCAGGGGAGATATTATGACCCCCGCCATGATGTCCACCCCCCCTAGTCATCACCCCCCTCTTTGCCGCCCCCGATTCTGAGAAGGCTGGCCCCCCCCGAGATTTTCAGAGCCGGATCGCTCTTGGCCGCCCCCGAGATCGCCCCCGATTCGAGTGTTTTCAGAGCCGGATCGCTCTTGGCCGCCCCCGAGATTTTCGTCCAGCCCCTTGGCCGCCCCCGAGATTGTCGTCCGACCCGAGCCTCCAGGCCTAGACTTAATCCATTGCCCCCGCTCCCTGTCACCTGCAACCTAGACTTCATTAAGTCGGGCCTGTCCTCCTCCATATTTTCCTGGAAGTCAACGATTCATTGTGTCTGTGTGTTTCCTTCCCTCCTCATTGTCGTCCGACCCTTACGTTGCATCTTCGGGGGACCTGGCCTGCCCCCCAAATTTGCGTCTTTTTTTGTACATGACGCGGGCTCGATGCGGACTCGACGCGGATTTGGCGTGGATTCGACGCGGACTCACGGATTCGACACGGATCCGATGAGTCCGACATGGATTCGACACGGATTCGACGCGGATAAGGCCGCGACGGGACAGACGAGGTCCCCCGAGGATGCAACATAACGACCCGAGCCTCCAGGCCGGCGCCAGCCCGTCCACGCCGGGGTCCAGCAGCGACAGCGGCACGGCCGTCAGGCCGGCGCCGCCGGCGCTCAGCGCGCCCGCCACGGGCGCCCAGCACCCGGCGCAGCGGCGCCGCGCCACGGCCGGCGACGTCCTCGGGGGCACCAAAGGGTGACGATGTCGAGCAATCTCTTTTCCTTCTCCTCCTCCTCCTCCTCCTCCTGCTTGCTTTGCGCAACGGGCTCCACTCCACTCCACTCCACTCCACTCCACTCCACTCCACTCCACTCCACTCCACTCCACTCCACTCCACTCCACTCCACTCCTCCTCCTCCTCCTCCTCCTCCACCTCCTCCTCCTCCTCCTCCTCCTCCTCCCCCTCCTCCCCCTCCTCCTCCTCCTCCTCCTCCTCCTCCTCCTCCTCCTCCTCCTCCTCCCTCCTCCTCCTCCTCCTCCTCCTCCTCCTCCTCCTCCTCTTCCTCCCAGCACCTGGCACCACCACCAGGGAGTGCGCTACCAGGGAGTGCGTCTGGCCTCAGGAACGAAACCTGGCCCTTGGGAAACAGAAGGTCCCCTCTTGGGGCCCAGGAAACATCTTCCTCCTCGGGAGCCGTCAGGCGGAGCCAGCGGTGGCGACGACGCCAGGCCCAGGAGGCCCCCCACAAACGGGGGGACAAACGCGAGGGGAGGGCAGAGCTGGGTCGGGCCTGTCCCCCCTACAGGGGGATTTCGGACAACAAAATAAGACATACTCCAAAAGTGCTCCAAAGATGCCCAACAAATGCTCAAAACCTCGTCCCCCGACCATTTTTGGAGCATTCTCGAATAATTCCTCCTGACTTAAGGGTAGAGCTCGGGGCCGATCGAGGCGCCACCGCCCCCGGGGGGAAGGCATCGGGGCCTCCGCCTCGGCCCAGGGGCCCGCCCTCTCTCGCTTCCCCCCTCGGCGTGCCGCCGAGTATCCCCTTCCTCCTTTCTCCTCCTCCTCCTCCTCCTCGGAGGCCTCGTCTCCACGAGCTGCGCCGCGCCCCCGCCGGGCGCGGACACCTGGACGTCCCCGGGGCGGAAGAGCGCGCTGGCGACGAAGGGCGCCCCGGAGAGCCGGCGGCACACCGAGCAGTGGCAGACGGCCGATGGCCCTCGGAGCTCTGTGCTGAGTCGGGCACTGTGCCTCGACGGGGGGAATATCCCAACTAAAACGACGCGAAGATCGGGACAACATCGGATCGGGATAACTCGAAATCTCTGAGAATCGGCGGGTTTGGAGGATGTATTGGGCGCCGCGGCCGCTCCAGAGCGTTCCGGAACGCTCCGAGAGCGCTCCGGAACGCTCTGGAGCGATTTTTCCCGATCCTAGCTCTCTTTTACCAAAATAGTCAACAAAAATAGTCTGGACAGGACTCGCTGTCCGCGCCGCCGCGGCCTGTGTCCGTTTGAGACGGAAGGCCGCCTGCCCAACAGCGGTCGCTGCTGGTTTGGGGCAACAGTTGTGGTTGGGCATTGTGCATTTTTTGTTCCGTACAAATTTCGGGCGTCCAGAGCCTTGAGATCCGGGCGCCGCAGTATTTTCACCCTGGGCATCTTCGCCCGGTTTCGGGGCCTTGGGCCATCACAGAGCGATCCAGCTCTGAAAATACCAGAGGAAGATCAGGTCTATAATCGAGTCTAGGTTTGAGTCGGGCCTGCCCTCGACAGGGGGAACATTCAAAAGCAGTCCACAAAAATAGTCTGGGCACTGTTGTTGGAGTATTTTGGGGCATCTTCTGAATACGTCTTGAATCTATTTTGTGTTTCGTCCAAAATTCCCCTGTAGGGGAACAGGCCCGACCTAAGCTTTGCGCCCGGACGGTTTCCAGAAGCTCCTTCGGACGCTCCCTCCAAGAGCTCCCGGGGCCGTTCGAGAGGCCTCCGGGAGGCCTCTTCTGGCGCGCCGCTGCCTCCGGGCTCTGGATGCCACGAGTTCCGGAGAGCTCCTTGGAGAGCTAAACAAGGTTTTCATATTAGAACTGGGTCGGGCAGGTTCCCCTACAGGGGGATCTGGAGTTAGAAATCAAAGATAATACTCAAAAAGGCACCCGAAAGCAATCACAGAATGCTGTAAACATCGCCCCCCCGACTCTTTTTGGATGCCTCCTGTGGAGGGAAAGGCCCGACTTAGAAGGCGTTTCTTTATTTCGGCGATGACGGGCGTCATGGGAGGGGGGGGGTAGGGCGGGGGGGTATGACGTGACTGGTAATACCAGTAGAAGCCGGCAACACAGGGTGGCGCGGCGGGGGCCCCCAAGGCGGTGGGGTGGCAACACCGCGTGGCGAGCGGGACTCGGGGGTCGGGTGCCATGGGGCACCCGAGGCCCCAAGACCGTGCCGGTGACGGGCCGCGCGGTGGGGTCTCTTGGCATCTTCCTGCAAGACGAAAAGGGGGGTCCTCCTCCTCCTCCTCCTCCTCCTCCTCCTCCTCCTCCTCCTCCTCGGCCCCTCTCGGGCCGAACGAAAGGGGGGGGGGATAGGGAAAGGGGGGGCTACGACATCTGCTGCATGCAGCCGGTTTCGGCCCCACCGAGGGCCCCATTCCTCGATGCATGGCCGCCTCCGGCGCCGGGAAGCGCCGGGAAAATCAGCTACGTTGAGCTGATTCTCACCCCCTCCCCTTTGCTATCCCCCCCTTGCGCCCGACCCGACATTTCCAGGTCACCGCAGGGCCTGTGGTACTAATTACGCGGTCTTGGGGCCACCGAGAAGCGTGTGTTCGGTTGTTGCTAGAAGTGCCCCTGGCCCAGGGTACCCCAGGGATTCTCGGGGTGGCCCAGGCGGCCTCCAGGGCCCCCCCTCACGAGGCCCAGAGGACACCAGGGGCTCCAAACTGGAGCGAAAACCTGGGGGCACCTTGGGCCAGGGGCACTTCTAGCAACACTCGGTAGGTTGGCGCCAGTGCGTGCACTTGCCCGCCCGAGCCTTTCAGTACGACTCGGTCGATATGTAGTGGGGGCCGGCGCAGGCTGCGTGCTGCGTGCTGTCGGCAGAGCTGCCCCTGAGATCCGGGCGCTGCAGTTTTTTCACACCGGGCGTTTTCGCCCCTGGCTTCGGGCTCTGGGACCATCCCGGATCGACCCGGCCCAGCAAATGCCACAAAAAGGTGGGGTCTAGGGCCCGGGTCGGGATTTCTGCTGATGCTCATCTTTTTCGCGATATCTGATCGCAAGGGAGCGGGGGGAACACGCCTTGGGCCAACACGCGTCCTGAAGGTCATCGGGATGAGCGACGAGAAGAAGAGGATCTTACGAAAGATGCCACGCCGACCTTCCGCCGCGTCATACCGCGGACCGCCAGCGCGGCACGCTACGTGGGAGACGAGGGCGCTTACGCGTGACCCTACGCGGGCAGCTTGCGCGCCAATGCCGGCGCAGACGATACCCTTTTCCTTGGCGTCGCTCAGATGGACACGGAGACGGGGTCGCCCCGCATGCGGACCTGGACCTCCCCGCAGTGGCACGAAGCCTCCGAGACGGCCGCCCCGCCCGGGTCCCTTTGCAGAGCGGGGCTCGGCGGGCCACCGCCGCACCGCCGATGCTCGGGTCGGGCGAAAGGGGGGGATAGCAAAGGGGGGGGGGTGAGAATCAGCTCACGTAGCTGATTTCCCCGGCGCCTCCCGGCGCCGGAGGCGGCCTATGTATCGAGGAATGGGCTCCTCGGCGAGGCCGAAACCAGCTGCACGCAGCAAATTTCGTACCCCCCCCTTTCCCAATCCCCCCCCTTCGAACGGCTCGAGATGCACCAGGCGATGCGTCGGCGGCCGGGGTGCGCGCTGACGGCCCCCCCGAGGTGGTCCCCGCTGGCCTCATGCAGGCCCCCCGAGCAGCCCGGGGGTGGTCTTCGGCACCCGAGCGCTCCGCCTCCAGCGGCGCCCGTGGGGCGCTCCGCGCCCCCGGGGGCCGCCCGCCCGGGGCTGCCCGCGGGGCCCGTGGAGGCTGCAGCCGAGCAGGCGGCCACCTCGTGGGGCCGTCTGCGCGCCGCCCGAAGCCGTGCCATCCTCCCGCGCCCCCCCCTGGCCATCGCTCGGACGTCCATTCCCTGTGTTTTTCTTCGGTCTCGTGCGTGTTTTTTTGTAGTTTTCTCTTTTTGCTCCTTCGCAGGATGATCCCAGGATGCTCCTCGATAATCCGCGCCGAGAAACACACACACACACACACACACACACACACACACACACACACACACACACACACACACACACACACACACACACACACACACACACACACACACACACACACACACACACACACACACACACACACACACACACACACACACCCCACACA